GACTCTCCAACCTCAGCCTCTTTGTATGGAATCGGTACAGAGTCACATGGCATATATCCAGGGACTTTGCCACTTCCCTGACTGATTTGCCCTTCTCAACTTCATTTGAGGCCCTCTGCAGCAGAGCAAGTGGCACTCCCCTGTCTGTCTTCCTCTTTCTGACATTTGGCATACTGTAAACAACACACACACACACACACACACACACACACACACACACACACACACACACACACACACACACACACACACACACACACACACACACACACACACACACACTTTAGGCCTACTGTACAGTATTTTGTGTGTGTGTGTGTGTGTGTGTGTGTGTGTGTGTGTGTGTGTGTGTGTGNCCTACATGTGAAGCTAATTTAACCATCAACATCATTTCATTTAATTTAGGTGAAATTATGTAATCATTCACGCAGAGATGCCATTAATGACAGGAGTAGTCACTACAGTAGCTAGTAGGTGAGTTGTCACTACAGTAGCTAGTAGGTGGGTTGTCACTACAGTAGCTAGTAGGTGGGTTGTCACTACAGTAGCTAGGAGGTGAGTTGTCACTAAAGTAACTAGTAGGTTGGTTGTCACTACAGTAGCTAGGAGGTGAGTTGTCACTACAGTAGCTAGTAGGTGGGTTGTCACTACAGTAGCTAGTAGGTGGGTTGTCACTACAGTAGCTAGTAGGTGGGTTGTCACTACAGTAGCTAGGAGGTGAGTTGTCACTAAAGTAACTAGTAGGTGGGTTGTCACTACAGTAGCTAGTAGGTGGGTTCGAAACCCGAGCCCGCCAAAGTTTTCAGGCAATGTCTTGCCCTCTATCTCTCAATTTAACACCCTCTCTGGAATAAAAAATAATGTAGAGTAGTGTTTCAGGATTTGTTAGTGGAAACTGAACAGACTGGGACAAATGGTAGTAAATTGTATGACAAGTACATTTTAGTAAATAGATGTAACCAATCTTTTTCATATTTCACACCACAGAAAGTCAAAACGATTCATAAAACCCTGGATATCATAATTAAGAATTTTTAGGGCTTTTAAAAGATTCGTTTTTAGACATTTTATTACCAATCAAGGCGTGATTTTCACATTAATGAATTCAAATATTCTGTTATCACTCGACACCATACTCTAGTTGCTTCAAATTGCGAAGGTATTGGAGACGTTTTTTAAACCCTTATTCACTTACAGTCAGACACTTTGCAGATCAGCCACGTGTAGAGTATGACAAGCTCCAGTAAAGCGTGAATCTGTGTAATCTAACATTCATTTTTGGCACGGAGACAAGTGAGAGATTATCGGCATGAATGACTTCTGTTACACAAAACCAATTATGTATAATTACGGGACAGATTGGTGATGAGATGGAGAGGTGGGAGAGTGACAAGCAGCCGGCAGAGATAACAGCTTCGGGAGGAAAACTGATGTAAGAGCAGGAGAGTTTCACTGTTTAACAACCTGAACACCTTCAGCTTGAAGCAGCACCACTGTAAGTACATTTAAGGCAATATTTAATCTGTGCAAAGTATTCCCTTGGCGATTGGAAAGAGCATTTTTAACTACATGTTTATACAAAACTACAATGTCAACAGCACACTTTTCCTGGATTACAGACTCTTTGTTAAATCATTTTAAAGTATTTTAGTGTGAGATCATTTCAGTTTTATTTCAATGGCTTCCATGTCATGTGACCAAATATAATTACAACACTACACAAAGTGCTGCTTTGACTTGGAGTCATATGAGATGAGAGCTATTGAAATAAATCAATCCTTTTTCATAAAAAGCTACATGTCCTATTTGTCAGGTGTGGTACTGCATGGTGTGTTATTAGGAATGATTAGGTAACAGATGACATTTCCATTGCTTTTTGGGGTTTTCCCTGTCCTGTAGTGTGTTTTATCGCTTTTTGTAAATGGTCTGCAAAGACTAAAATCCATGAGTTTCTCTCCGTTGGACTTCTTTGTTTACTTCCTGAACATAATGACATCACTATGTAACACTCATGCTTCTATTGACTAGCGCTCTAACACATTGTACGTGATAGGCTAAGGGGCGGGACATCTCTAAGCGGTTGACCAATCACAACAGAGCCGGCCAGCTAACCAATCAGAGCAGACTGGGCTCTGGTTTCAGACAGAGGGTGAAAAGAGGTGCTGCAGCACAGGCAGTGTGAGAAGAATAAAGAGCTTTTTGAACATTGAAGCATGGAGACATGTCATGTCAGAGGTGGGAAGTAGTGGAGTACAAATACTTAAGTACATGTTTCTGGTATCAGTACTTTATTCCACTACTTATTTTTCTGCCAACTTTTTACTTTTACTTCTTACATGTTGAACACAAATACCTGTACTTTCTACTTCTTACATTTTCCAACCAGGCTGGTTCCTTTAGTTTGAATGTGTGTTTGGTGGCGTGATCATTATTATTTAGAGTCATTGCGTGCCAGTTGATTTGAACACGATCCGTGTATCCATCATTTCCTGGTCTTCTCTAAAGAAGAGGGACCAATGAAAACGTTGTCATGTTGCCGTTGTTCAGCATGGAAACATTCATTAGCTAACAATGACATTATTGTTCTATTCATATAAAGGGAGGTCAGGTACTCTTTAAAACAGCTGCTAGTTATGGGTACTTTTTACTGAA